AGTTCTATTTTTCAAACTGTGGAGTCCAGAGAAATGCTAGGATTCAGAGATTCTAAAATAACTTGATTTGAATTTCTAAGTATATTTTTAAAGTATGTAACATATACCATATACTACTACACACTCAAAATTAAGTCAATGGAATCCTTAACACATTACTTGTCACTATCAGCTTTGTACATTTCTTTGTATGTGGTGATTTGAGAATAGTTTCTAATGCTATTATTTCAGTGCATGCATTAAAATGTGTGCTTTTGATTTATAATACTACAGCCCTGTACTGCTCTTTCATTAAACTACAGGCTGTAAACAAAAAATTCATTAGAGTCCATGTGACATGCACAAAAGCCCAGGCACAGAATGTAACAGCTGTTTACCCAAAAGTCAGTGTATAAAATGTGTCTTGTTATTATACCTTCATAGTTCTTAGTTGTCTGCTATTTTCTGGTCACTGAGACTATACTGGACACTCACAAGTACAGGAGGAAAGGTTTATTTTGGTTCATAGTGCACAGAGGTTTCAGGCCCTGGTGATCAGGCTCCAAGGCAGAAAGAAAGGCATGGAAGAAGGGACTGGGGGAAGGAGAAGTTGCTAGCTTCATGGTGGAGGGGAAGCAGAGAAAAGTGAAGGGAGGAGCTGGGGAGGAAGACAAACCCTTCTAGACCAAGCCTCTGTGACTCAACTCCTCTGAACAGACGCCGCCTCCTGACGGCAAGCCAGCTATACCAGCCCCATAATACAATCACCCACCAAAAGCCCCATCTATAGACCATGAGGCTTTTGGGGGGATACCTAGCTATAAACCTTAACATCAGTGTATGTGTGAAATTAAAATAAATACCCTTATAGCCAGAAATAGTTTTCTATTTTTAATTAAATGGAAGGCATTTAAAAAGAAATGTGTCAGGGCCAGGGATTTAGCTCAGTGGTTCTTCCGCCTGCCTAGCAAGTGCAAGGACCTGAGTTTGATCCCAGTACCAAAAAAAAAAAAATCCTATTACATGGATACATCCATACCCATGTTTATAGCAGCATAAAAAAATCATATTACATGGATACATTCATACCCATGTTTATAGCAGCATAATTTATGATATCAAGATCTTGGAAACAGCATGTATGTCCATCAACAGATGAATGGATAAGGAAAACATGCAGTGTCATAAAAAATAAACTTGAGGTATTCAAAGATATATGGATACAACTTAAATAAACCATACATGCAGACATACAGACACACATACACACATACGCAAGCAAAATACGAGATAAAAAGGAAGCCAGAAATTCAAATACTCCTCTAGATTACATATTTTGTGGTTTAAAAAATATTGCAATAGGGGCCGGGGATTTAGCTCAGTGGTTTCGCCGCCTGCTGCACAAGCACAAAGACCCGAGTCTGATCCCCAGTACCAAAAAAAAAAAAAAAAAAAAGGCAATATATGCTGATTTGTTTCATTTATACTAATAGTTTATCCTACTTTGTTGACAAGAAAATTTGTGGTTTTATCTGTTTCTTTTTTGGTTTATGTTTTGTACTGAGTAATTTGAAGATAATGATACATAACATAATTACTGTCATTTCTTATTATTTATGAAAATTTGTTTTACTTTTTCATGAAAAAAATTAAAAGTGTGATGAGGGGGCTGGGGATTTAGCTCAGTGGTTCCAGCACCTGCCTCGCAAGTGCAAGGACCCGAGTTCAATCCCCAGTACCAAAAAAAAAAAAAAAAAAGTGTGATAAGGAATAGGATATTTACACAGCATTAAAGCATTATCCTGCAAAAGTCTTACTAATTTGAAAATTTAAAAAAAGTTAACTTTAGAGTTGAGAGGCCTAGCTGATACCATCTCAACCACATAGTCAAAGACAATATAATCAGTAATGAAAAAAAATCAAAATTGTATGCTATCTGATAGGATACAATGAGAACACAGTATCACTTCCATGATATTCTTGATAATGATGAATAACCTTAATCTAATTATATGGAAGGATTAGACAAACTCTAATCATGATCTGGATTCACCCTGTTTTTTTTAACTCACTTTTTAATTTTTTTTTGCAATACTGGGGATCGAACTCAGGTCCTTGTGTTTGCAAGGCAGGTGAAGTCCCACTGAGCTAAATCCCAAGCCCTAACTTGTTCTTTTAACCTTTATATCCTCTATAAATTTAAAGATAGAAAGGACTTTGTTAAATTCAAGTTCAAAATTTTTTAGCACAGTACTTTTCAATTTATATGCAACGTACAATAAGAGAAACAAGTTTAGAGACACTGGAATAAATTCAGTTTATGGTATATACTTCAAGACTGACCTAGTTTCTTCCACAAGTTAATGCCATGAAATTATTTCCCAAAAGGATAAGCTCTGCAGGGAGGTACTGTTCTAGATTATAAGAGACTTAAGACATAAATCTAACTGAAAGGCATGTTCTTTAACTGGATTCTGGTTTGGAAAAAAAAGTCACAAAAGAGAAGTTTTTGACAACTGAGAAATTTTTAATGTGATCTGAATATTAGATGCTATTGGAAAAGCTATTACACTTATTTTGATAAGGATTAGAGGTGGTAAAGTGCTATGGCATCTGTAACACACTTTAAAATCATTCTATAGAAAAATGTTTATAATTGCTGGACATTGGGGTTCATACCTGTAATTCTACAACTCTTCATGAGTTTGAGTCTTACCTGGGCAACTTAGTGAGACCCTGTTTCAAAATTTATAAAAAAATTAAAAGGCTGGAGATGTAGTTCAGTGTGAAGGGCCTGGGTTCAATCCACAGTTTAAAAGAATTTTTTCTACTTGCTTATTTATGAACAATGTCACAATAAAAAGTAAAAATAAAATGAAGAAAATAATAAAAATAATCAGACAGTATTAGAAAAAAATAGCATAACAAATTATTCCAAGAGTTGATTCTCTAATATACAATAAAATACACAGTCATGAAACAAATATAACAGAAAAAAAGCAAATGAAAATAATTATAGAGAATTCCTAATATTTTACAAGATTTTCAGGCTACTTTACATAATTATGCTTAAAAACATAAATGTGAATTTAAAGCACAATTTTATTTTCATTGCTAAAACACTTTTAGGAAGTAAATACGGTTAATTTTCCATGTAAGAGAGCAGAAATCTTATTAAAATCTTTGAAGTCTTTTAAACAGGGATCAAATCATTACCTTGGTAATTATTCAGCTCTCAGTTGACAAAGACCCATTTCTTGGTACCACATGGTCAAATCTTTTTTTCTTACTGTTTCAGTTTTTAATTAAGAGTCTCCATGCTTATCTGAATTTGAATTGTAGGCATTGTTGATACCATCTCATAAAAAGTGGCACATAAAAAACTGGAGTTGCTAATCTTAGTGACAAAGATTATGGGCATTCCAAACTTAATAGAAAGTTAGAAATAATTAGATACCAAATGTGTCAAAGCTTGAAACACAATTAGACACATACAATTGAGCAGTTATTACCACTAACCACCACCACCTTCTGTCTTGCCCGACCATTTCTTTTTGTAGCCTAGTTGTAACAATTCTTTGAACTCACTCCAACTTATACAATGTGAGCCTAACACCTTTTCAGAATCTTCACTCCCTACCCATTTATAACCTATCAACCATCATTAAAATTGCTCCCTTCATCTGCAGTGTCTCTGCTTCTCTCCTTTGCCATTCTCAACTACGAAAACTTCAACTATAGATAAATCTGTATTACTGCCTATTGCATAGCTGTAACCATGAAGTCAACAATGGCTAAAGAAAACACACAATCAATCATACTGACTGATTATATTTTAAATTCATGTCCACTAACCCTAAGTGGGTCATTGGTATAACCTAGAATTTTTCCTATTTCCATCATATGTTCATTCTTGTTTTCCTATTTCATACCTTCTCCTTTCTTATTAAATCTCTAAATCTTTTCTTTTTTTTTGGTACTGGGGATCGAACTCGGGACCTTGCACTTGTGATGCAGGCGGCTGCACCACTGAGCTAAATTCCCAGCCCCTTAAATCTTCTTTTCTATTGCTTTCAGTGGATGACACTGCTTCAAATTTCATTAAAGAAACAGGATATAATGGTACAAACCTCATCTTATTTCACCTTCATTTCTATTTTCCAATTTTGTGCCTAGACTCAAGTTTTGAAGAACTATCTATATTCACAATCAGCTCCTGTAGTTGTGCTTTAAATCTCAATCCTTTCACTCACTCCAGCAATTGTCCTCCTCTCCTGCATGCTTAATCTTTCTATTAGACTACTCCCTGTCAACACATAAACATGGTATAACTTTTCCTTAGCTACTGGTTCAGTTTTCACTCCCATCTATAGGAAAACAAAAAACTGTCTACACTTGCTACTCTAATTTCTCTCCTTTCATTCTCTGTTGAACACAACTCATGTAAGGTTTTCACTGTCCCAATCTACCAAACCTGTTTTTGCCAACTCCACTAATGAGTGGTTCCAGTTTCAGTGATCATCTTACTTCATTTCACCATCAGGATCACTGAGCACCCCATACCCTCTGCCTGAAATTCTTTCTTTCCTTGACTTTTTTTTTTTTTGGTACCAGGGATCAAACTCAGGACCTTGTGCTTGGAAAGCAGGGAGTGGAACCACTGAGCTAAATCCCTGGCCCCTTTCCTTGACTTTTAAAACAAAATCCTCTCTTGATTTTAGAATGCACCAGGGCTCAGTCATTATTTTTGTGCTATGTATATTTGCTCTGATGGTGATCTCATTCAGTATTGTGGCTATAGATATCATCTATTCTCTGAATATTGCCAAATTTTTATATTCAGCTCTAGAACTCCATGTCATACATCCATTTACCTAATTAGTATCTCTACTCGGATGTTCATTATATATTTCTAAGTAAATATGTCCAAAACCATGCTTTTGATTTATTATTCCTTCTGTAGTCTTCCCCATTTTGGTAAGCAGTCCCTCCATCTTTCCTGTTGCCCAGGGCAAACAAACCTTGGAGTCATCCTGGACTCTTCTTCTCTCACAGTCCACTTCTGATCCATCAGTAAATCCTGCCGTCTGCACCTTCAAAACATATTGGAATTTTCGCTCACCACTTCTACAGCTACTACCCCAGTCCAAACCACCAGCAATGTCTTTTCCCATAGTATTAATAATGCCTCCTTAGTGATTTCTCAGCTTCCAAAGTTGCCTCTTCAAATTATGTTATAATCACAGCTGTTAAGATGATACCTTGGGGGGGGGTGTAAATTAGATGTTACTTTTTAACCTAAGTTTCCAAAAACTTCCCATTTTTACCAGAATCAAAGTTCTTACAATACTGACAAAATCCTATTTAAAGGAATGTCCTGCGATCTTATGCTTCAACTTTCAGCCTCCACCATTCTCCCTTCTGATTCCAAACCAGAAAACATATCAAAACATTCTAGAATTATACTGAGAAACATTTAATCTAAAAACATAAAAATAAAAGATTTTTAAATTTTGTGTTTCTTTACTTGTATGTATGTATTATTACTATTACATCTCTCTTTGGGAGAAAACCTTTAACAGGCAAGTACATCATTAAATTTTCACACATGTTCATGGGCTTTCTTTTATACAAAATGAGCTCCTAAAAATACAGATGGAAACAGAGTTTATTTTCTTACTTATTTTGTTTTCCTATAAATAAAATAAAAAGGTTTGGGGATTTAGCTTTCCAAATCGGTGGGAAAAACAAGGATGAGGCAATAAATGTTATAGTGATAGCAATCTAGCATTTTGAAAAGAAAAGCTAGATTATTTCTAATCCTCTCTCTTTTAAAAATTCCATTACAATGGGAAGAAAAGATATATTAACAAACTGTTTTTGATCTATGCGTTGGAGCTCAACCCAGGGTCTCACACGTACTAAGTACCAGGTACCTGCTCTACCACTGAGCTACACCCCTGGCCTCTTATAGTGTATTTTTAACTTCATAATGTGAAAAGCCAGATAGCAAAGTCACATAGCATTAAGCAGAGAAAAACAGACTTGTTTCTATAAAAATTCAAAACTATTTTTAAAAACCACTATCATTAAAGCTAAAATATTTCACAAGCTGCAAAAACTTTCCTTTTTTTGAGACAAAAGGTTCCTATAATAAATATACAAATCAACAATAAATAAATGAAAATGGAACTAACATATAAAAATATATTCAACCTCTAATGTAATCAAAGGATACAAAGAAAAACAATGAGCTTTGTCTCTTAAGTTATATAATTAGAAAATATTTAAGCAAATGACAACATTCAACAAGCTGTCTCACTTTTGAAGGGTTGTATTTTGGCCTTAGTTGTTTTTGGACAGCAGTTTGGAAATAGGCAACAAAAATTTAAAGTGGCTTTTAAAAAATCTAATATATTCACTAGCAAGTATTTGTCCTCAGAATGCAGTAAGATGGCTTTTCAGAAATGTACATGTAAGAATTCACACAACAGTGTTATTTTTAAACTCAAAATACTGAAAATAGTCTATATACCCATTAACACAGCATTGCTCATTTATGTTAAATTTTGGAATAGTCATGCAATGGGAATTTATATAAAGAGATTTTCAGAAATCTTTTCCAAATACAATAAACTCCTAAACTAGCCAGGTGCAGTGGTGTACACACCTGTAATCTCAGATACTTTGGGGACTGAGAAAGGAGGATTGAAAGTTTCAGGCCAGCCTGGGTAAATTAGTGAGACCTTGTCTCAAAATAAAAAATAAAAAGGGTTGGGGATTTAGCTCAGTGGCAAAGCACCCCTACGTTCAATCTCCAGGACGGATGGACCGATGGACAGACGGATGGACAGACGGACAGACAGACAGACAGATCCAAATAAAATGATTACCTATCTCCCTTTGGTTTTCTTTTTTGTAGTGTCTTCCCTTTGGGTCTTCTTTCACTTCCTAAACAGGGGCTCCCACCAGGTCCTGTTACCCGTATTGATTCAAGGCCTTTGGAAGATTTTTTAAATGTAAATTCCACTGGTTCTCCTTCTTTCAGGCTTCTAAATCCTTCCATGAATAGTTTGCTCTATAAAGAGTGGGGAAGGGATGAGGAAAGAGATAATGATTATAAATGTTTTATAAATTATGTCTAATTTTAGAATTAGCAGAGGAAGATATTTGGTTATCCATTAAAAAAGTATAGTCTTTCTTTTTTTAAGTCCAGTGAAACTCATATCATTTTAATCTTTCAATTGTAATGATGGCAGAGGGAGAATATATTAGTACTATTTTTCAAAGGCAATTTGGCAACACTTAAAAAGATTTTTTTAATTTAAATGTACATATTCTGCAACCCAACAATTCTACTTCAACAATTCTGTTACAGACAAATTCACACAAAGGTTCAAAAAAAGACACCACAGCGTGGTTTGTTAAAAAATGTCCATTTAATCTCACTGATCATATAAATGAGTCATATAACATTATTAAATCATTAAGCTTTTTTTAGATCTACATGCTTTGATGTGAGAAGACAAACATGTAATACTGCTAGGTAAAAGAAATTAAGATTAAAAAACAAGTGTTTACCACAATTTCATCTATATGAAATTTCAAAAAGATTCATGTCTACTTCTAAAGAGATAGGGTCTGGATCAGACATTAAACCACAGAGCAATTTTCTCAATTCCTGTTCTGGGAAGGTAGGCAAGCTTTCTATATGCACTTTACTGCAGTTTTTGAGTTTTTTATGATGGGAAAGAAAATTTATTTTTATAATTTGAAAGATGGTTGATTGAAAAAATAAATCGCCAATTACAAAATTGTAACTTCAATTTCAAATGTTATTGGCTCTTTCAATTCTATTTTGTTCATCAAAGTCAATGTGTTGATTCAAAATGCTAAGAATAATTAAATCATTAGTTTTATTTACTTCTTCAAACCCCTTGTATACACTTTACAGATCTAATTTAGAATATCATGGCGTTTATAGATTTTTCTGAACTTTAGAGTGAAAAGGAAGGGAACACAACATGGCAGACCTTAGCTCAGGCCCAGTTCTTTCAGTAGGAAATCCTGTCTATAGCTTTGAATGAACCATTTAATTTCTTTTCTGTTTATCTTTTTTACTCTTTCCATTGTAATGAATCTTTTTTTTTTTTTTGGTACCGGGGATCAAACTCGGGACCTTGCGCTTGCGAGACAGGCTATAATGGAATTTTTTTAAAGAGAGAGGATTATAAATGTATCTAGCTCTTCTTTTCAAGCAATATGAATTCTGAGTAACAGTAGATCTGAAAAAGACACCAGTAAAACTGTGAAGTGTCATGTTTTTTCTCCTTGGACCACTTAAATTAGCATATTAGTTTCAGAAATGCCCTCCCCTATCCCACTCACCAGAATAAAACTCTTCTTTAATTGCAATTCTTAACAGCAACTTCCTGACTTAATTGATCCCAGAGCCCCTTCTTTGTAAGTACAAATGACTGGAGTACTTAAGGAAAACACTTCCAGAAAATCTTCATCCCTCCCAAGTCCAAGATTCCATGGGCATCTGCTATGGCTTAGATGTAGTTTGTCCCCCCAAGGGTTTATGTGTTGGAAGCTCAGTCCCAAGGTGGCAGTACTGGGAAATAGTGTGGAACTGCTAAGAGGTAGGGCCTAGTGGTATTTCTGTAGATCAATTAGTCACGTGCCTTGGAAGGGACTGAGGAATACAGTGTCTATCAGCTTCCTGTTTTTGTGATGTGATCTCTTGCTCTTGCATGTGCTTTCATCTGCTCCTGGACCTTCACTAGAGGCTAATCCAAGGGCTTAACCCACCATCTCCACCTGCCAGTGGATCTCAGACTTTCAAACTCCAAAATGAAAACTAAATAAACCTTTTTTCTGTATAAATTACCCTACCACATTTTTTAAACTAACAGAAAACAGACTAATAGAGAAGGTAAAAAGTTGTACTCCTTACCCACAGTTTTGTATCCTAGGGTTTGAATCACCTGAGGCCAATGGTGGACAGAAAATATTAAATAGGAAAATCACGAAAGGAACAATGTGTAAGTTTTGAATTGCACAACATTCTGAGTAGTATGATAAAATCTCCAGCCACCCCACTCCATCCTGCCCTTGACACGAATTGTATCTTCATTTTGTGTATCCATTTTGTACATACTACCTTTCCACTTAGAAGCCATCTTGGTTATCAGATCAATTTGGAATATGAAATGTTTGTGTCCACGTAACCCTTATTTTACTTAATAATGCCCCCAAAGGATGAGAATAGTGATGCTGGCAATTCAGTTATGTCAGAGAAGCTGTGAAGTAATTAAGTAAAAAGGTGAAAATTCTAAATTTAACAAGAAAAGGAAAAAATTACAAACTGAGGTTGCTAAGATCTATGGTAAGAACAAATTTTCTATGCATGAAATTATGAAGAAAAATAATTCTTTCTAGTTTTGCTATTGTGCCTCAAATGTGACTGAATGGGATTGAATTTATGTATACATTTAAAGAAAAAAATATAGTATACATAGGATTTGGTACATAGTGTTTTCCTGATGTGGTCCTTTGTTTCAGGAATCCACTGAGGATCTTAGAATATATACCTCACAGATAAACCGTAATTATAGAGAACTTAAATCATTAGATGGAACAAATAAAAATACTTCAAAATCTAATGCAAAAGTATTGTAGACAGCTAAGTTAATTAGCTATCTGGTAGGCAGTTAGACAGGGTCTGTCCTTGAGGAGTCAATAGGAAAGAAAATCAAGACACATTCACTGAAGGTCAGGATTATAAAAAGAAACTAATACACCCATGTACTTCCCGTAGGGATGAATAGAAGTGATTGATATTCAAAATAGACATCAGTCACCTTAAGTGTGGATGAGAATCTCCCTATCCCATTTCCTTTCTGGAAACTCCTTGTTCATAGCCATAGCCCATGCTTGCTATGTGACTTGTTTTTTCATATGATCCTCATTTAATCAATATTACCTGGGGAAATGTACTTGAGGTCTTATTGGTTGATCATGGTTTTGTCCCACCTCACGTCTACCTTGTGATTTTCCATTGGATCCTATTAGTTGACTATAGTTTTGTCCCACCACACTTTGTGGGTTTGCTCCATAAAAATCTCTTGAGAAACGGAGTCCCAGGCAACCCACTTTTCCGCGTGTCACCTCCAGTCCCTCTCAGGCAGGAGCTATCTTTCCCTCAATAAATATTCCTTACTCTTAACCTCTATTGTTCCTAGAATTCATTCTTTGATTTTAGAGAACATCAACTCCCATTTCAGATATCTAGCAGGTTGGGAGTTATAATATTTCCCCCATTTTGGATTATTTTGCTTATTTGGATTACTTGGTGTCCTATATCAAAAGGAGACTATTCATTATGAAAGTAATATGATATACAAAAACAGTTATTAACCTGTTTCTAGCGCAAGTCACCTGACATTGGGAAATCCTCATGCTGAACTCTGTCTGCAACTTGACAGCACCATTTCTGCTGTTTGATGTTATGTAGAAGAAAAATACAACTACCTACGTTCTTTAAAATAACATAACAGGGCCAGGGATTTAGCTCAGTGGTTTCGTTGCCTGCTGCACAAGCGCAAGGACCCAAGTTTGATCCCCGGTACCAAAAAAACCAAAATAAAACATAACAAATCGTCATTTTTAATGCTGTCCTAACATTGCTAAAGCATCTTATTTTTTTCTAATTATAAGTAGTTCTTTTGCTTTAGCTTCCTTTCTTCCTTCCCACTCAAGAAAGTGCAGATTATTTCTTTTAATTCAAATAAAGTAAAACACAGATCAACTACTGAAATTATGAGAATGAAGGAAAAGCAATATTAATTATAGCTCTCATATTGTTACATGTGTTTTGTTTCCAAAACAAAAATTCTATCATCTTTCCTTACTAGTTCCTAGTTTACAAGTACACTTCCACCAACTTGATTTGATTTTTCTTTATTAAGGCTACTGATAGATATTATTTATAAGTGAACTGCTTTGCCAAATCTAAAGTAAAAATCTAGTTCTTCTAGACCACTGAATTCTGGATATTTATCATGATATTCTGAAAAGAATATTTTTTTATCACCTCCACACAAATTAGTACATAAAGCAATTTAGATTCATGTTTGAAAAAAACAATCAATATCCCTATAAAATATAGTGGCTTTCTACTAAAAATAACTTATAAAACATTCACCCTTTGTTATTATACCAAAGTAATTGCAATACATGTGGGAAAGATTTGTTGAAAAGTGGAGAATTAGCTCATATTTGGTCACAAAAATCAACTTCTTCTCTTGGCCTGCCAATTTTTATTAAAAGTCCTCCATTTTTCTAGTCATACTGATTTCAATCTTTAGTTTTACTTAGACCATTTACTAAGTCTTGTGCATGCTGGGTGTGGTGGTGCATTCCTGTAATCCCAGCACTAGGGAGTCTGAGGCAGGAGAATTGCCATGAGTTTGGTGCCAGCCTGGAATACATAGAGTTCAAGGGCAGCCTGAACTACATAGCTAGACCTCGTCTCAAAAAAAAAAAAAAAAAAAAGTCTTACACACTCTTGCTACACAGTCTTTCTACCCCATCCATTTCATTGGCTTGTCATTACCCTACTTCAGGTCCTAATATCTTGTACCAGTGTAACTGGAGTAGCTTCGTCATTGATGGTTCAGCAGAAAGTCTTCTTCCTAAACCAGTATCTTCCATACCTGCATTTTCTCTTTAAATTTCCACCTATTAGACACAACTCCAAAATCTACCATACGATTCTTAAGATTGTAGATGAGATTCTTTTGCCTCCAATTACACTTTCCATTTCTTTTCACATTATACCAGAAAACAATCTCTTTGTTAACAGAACTGGCTGACTTGTATTTCCAAGAAGATCATCTCTTCTCTGTATTCCAGCTTATTCCGATGGAACACACTCTCCTACTTGTAGCTATCAAAATTTTATTCAAGCGCAGTTCAAATGATCCGTTTTTATGTCATCCTCCTCGATTACTCACAGTTAGAAATTTTTTCCTCTTTTGTGTAATTTATTCTTCTCTATAGCTTTTATAGTGC